TTCCAAATCTAACCACCAGTATTCTAAGAATCTCTTCTCATTCCTGTTTGCTTTCTGGGATTGATACCATGCAAGTAAGCCCATGAAGCCATAGCCAATGAAAAACTTCATTTTTATTACATTTTATTTTACAGTGTTAAAATACACGTGTTGCATTTGCCACAATGAATAAAATAGCAAACTTCCAGGCATGATCAAATTTGATCTGTATCGGTGTAAAAATATTTTGAGTTAGCCAAGCCAATATCGCTGTACATGATACTGTAACGTAAGTCACCAATCCTTAAGTCTGATCCTTGAATATTAGATTAAAAAGCTCAGACTAAAATATAAAGTTTTCCAGAAAGAAGTGCTTTCGGCGCTGGGGTTTTTCAAGAGTTGTTTTATTGTCTTGTCTTCTCACCAAAAGCAGGATTGTCATTCTGGACTGAATTCTTGTTCTGTGCTTCTTGAGATGATAAAGAAGTTAATACTTCACTAGGGTAGTGGTGTCAATCATAGCTTTGCTCTGACTTTCTATAGCCAAATTGTAAATAGCAAGAACATTAATTTCTCCAGCACTGTGTAATAACCTTAAGTACAACTTAAGCTTACATCTGATTCAATAATTTCCCAGAACAACACTAACATAATTAACATAACCAACAATAGGTTCAGGTTTGTCTGTATTTAGTGCTAGCTTCAGCCAGCCATTTCAGAAATGTTCCTGATCTGAAATAGTGAGACCTGAAATATACTGATCACCTGGGGTGGGGTGGAACTCATTTAACCTTTGGCATCTATGGAATAAATGTTTACAGTGAAGCTTACTGTGCTCTTTAGTTCTCTCAGCTTAAAATTCTCTTTAGTAGAGGATAAATCCCACTGCAGACACCTGCACTTGCACAGGTATATCCCAGTGTGCTGGAAGCACTATACGAGAAGGAAAAATTGAAGCAAAATGGAAAAAACTGACACAAAGAATGACATCCCAGAGTATCTCTCTTGTAGTCATTTAACTATTACATTTTCTTGTTCTCATAAAATCACAGAATAGTTTAGGCTGGAAGGGACCTCACAGCCCACCCAGCCCCAACCCGTGCCATGGGCAGGGCTGCCCCCCACCAGCTCAGGTTGCCCAGAGCCCCATCCAACCTGGCCTTCAGTGCCTGCAGGGATGGGGCACCACAACTTCTCTGGGCAGCTGTGCCAGAGCCTCACTGTCCTTTGAGTAAAGAATTTCTTTGTAACGTCTAATTTATTTTTTTCTCTTTCAGTTTAAAACCATTTTCCCCTTGTTCTACCACTATCAGACTGTGTAAGAAGTCAATCTCACTTTAAGTACTGGAATGCTGCCATGAGGTCTCCCCAGAGCCTCCTCCAGGCTAAACAAGCCAGCTTCTTCAATCTTTCTTTGTACCAGAAGTTCTGCAGCCAAAGAGCATCTTTGTGGCTGTCTCAAGACCTGCTCCAACAGCTCCACATACCTCCTGTGCTGGGGGCCCGAGGCCTGGGTGCAGTACTCCAGATGGAGCCTCACAAGGACAGAGTAGAGGGAGACAACAACCCTCCTCTGTCTGCTGGCCATCCCTTTGTTGATACAGCCTGGCATATCCTTGGCCTTCTGGGCTGGAAGAGCATGCTGTGGGTTCATGTTCAGCTTTCTGTCCATCCAAACACTCAAGACCTTCTCTGCAGGGCTGCTCCCAATGAGTTTTTCTCCCAGTCTGTACTTGTGTCTGTGATTGCCTTGACCTGAGGGCAGTGTCTTGTACTTGGCCTTGCTAAATCTCATTAGTTTCTCATGTTCCCATTTCTCAAGTACATCCAGATCCCTCTTGATGTCATCTCTTTCCTTCTGTTGTGTCAACTGCACCACTCAGCTTGGGTGTCATCAGCAAACTTGCTGAGGGTACACTCAATCTCCTCGTCTATGTCATTGATGAAGATGTTGGAGAGGGCCCCTGGAGGACACTGCTTATGACTAGCTTCTACATGTACATAGAGCCATTGACAACAACCCTCTGGCTACAACCATACAACCAGTTCTTTATCAATCAAGTAGTACAGTCTTCAAATCCATCTCTCTCTATAATTTAGAGGTAAGGATGTGGTGTGGGACCACGTAAAAAGCGCTGCGGAATTCCAGGTAGACAACATTAGCTGCCTTCCCTTTGTCTACTGATGCTGTCACTCTATTGTAGAAGACCACCTTTTTGTTTAATTATACAGTGAAAGAACATGGGTGTTTTACCCAGATCCAAGTTTGTGCTTTGTCAAGTTAAAGTACAGAAGCCAAACCTTCTCTTTTTAGTTAGTAGTTTAGTTTAGTAAGTGCGTTGAAGCCAAGAATGGTCAGGCCCTTCAGACGTCTGCATCTTCAGCAGGAGCAGCACATGCTGCTCTAACTCCTACATGTGCAGCGCAGGGAGTGGAAAAAACAGCTAGGTGAAACTCCAAACATCATTTTCTCCTGGCTGTCTGGCAAACTCCAAGCTTTTGTTGCAGTTTCTGGAGTTTTCTCTCCTTTAATAGTTGGCAGAACAAGAATGTATTCATCATGCTGAAACCAGAGATAAACCTGAATAAACAAAGCACCAAACTGTTTTTTAAGCAGAACTGTGTTGATTCCTTTTAGAAAAATGTTTAATTTGTTTGAGATATTGTCATGGTTCTATGTTTTTTGTTTTTGTTTTTTTGTTTTTGGGTTTCAGTATTCCACATCAAAACATCATGTAGTGTACGGGACATTAAAGTGTCACTGCCCCAATTCCAGCTACCTATCCCTGTACATTACAGAAGTCACGGGATCTGGCCCTTCCGGGTGGGGGGGGGCGCTCTCTTGCTGCCTGGCAGTGGGTGCTAGAGGGTGCTTTCCTGGCCGTTCCAAGCTTTTCAGGTTTGAATCGGTCCCGGGAACTCTCTCTCTCTCATCTTGTCTGATTTATTAATCTCAATTGCAATTAAATTGTATCTATTGTGTTATCTTGTATTCCGATATTATAGTAAAATAAGTTTTCCTCCATAGATTATTGCCGCTGTTCTTTTCCTCCCTTCCTTCCTTCCCATTTTGTGGGACTGGGGTGGGGGGGGGAGGGCAGAGGCCTGTCGCCCCTGTCACGGACATAGATTGATCTGGTCAAATCCGTGACAGATATTTTGACAGTCTCAGCTTAATCATCACTGCCAGGGGGAGATGTAGCTCAGTGACGGTTTCTGTAGATGCTGCAGTTCTCTTAGTGGTCTGCACAGTGCAAGCATAGGACTGGATGAATACAGTTGTTCTGCCATGCAGTAAAAGCTTCCAGGTAAAGTCTCTGATAACGCTTCATAGAACTGCTAATTTAGAATTAGAACACAATGAAAATGTTAATTAGAGAGTATTGCTATTGTGAGATTACTCATTATTCTCCCAGTCTGTACCACCTCTTGCTATATATATATAATAACTTTCATTCTGATTCTCTAAGGAACCTGGACTTTGCTTTGTACCTTGGAGGTGAAATATTGAGCCAAAACTGTTGAGAAAGGAAGAGTGGTCTTTGCTTCAAAACTTCTCAAAGTGCAGTGCAGACAAGCAGTATGATGTGGGAATGCAAAGATTCCTTCATGCATGTTACCTCGGTGCTCCCATACCACAGGAATGTGCTGTTAGCCCCTGGCTAATATATTTAATTGCACATTTATAAGGCAATATATGAATTAAAAATAGAATAATATAAAAAAGATAATACTACTGTGTTTGACCTCTTTATTAACATATTTTATGTTCATATTTTACAATATAATAAGTTATATGTACAGCATTAAACAAAATTATTAGAAAGTAAGATTTGGCAAGATATACAGGGTTTTTTTGTTCCTGTACATCTTTTGTGTAACAATAAAAATACTGTATACTAAATAAAATAATGTTAAATAGTCTGTGTTCACATTGGCACCATTGATTTCAAGACCCTCACTTTTTAAGGCCCAACAAATGTACAAAAGAGGATTTCTTTGGCTTCTTTTAAACAAATGAGTGATGCGTACTATTAAATGAAACATGAAATAATGGGGATAGTCAACTGAATAACACTGCAGTTATACACTGGCACAAGAGAAGTAGAATCCTCCCATTCTATTTTTTTTCCTTTTTTTAGTAGCAATAGACTGAATCTGCAAATGTAGGGTCTTGGAAATCTTGTTGAAGATTGCAGAGCTGTCAGCAAACCTCAGAATCTTACTGAAGCCTGTTGAAGTCTGTACTAATTTGTCATTGATTTCAAGATAGCAAGAATCCCATCCATAAATTAAACATCAGTTAGCCAGTTAAATATTCAAATAAATGCAGTTTGCATCTTCCTTTATAAGAAAAGTCAAAATTCTCCTCAGATTTAGCACATGCAAATTAACAAAGAGTGAGTTAACGACACTGAAGAAATGGTGAAAGAACAGCGAGGAGAGGTTTTATGTTGCAGTATGTACTTTCTCTGCAATACAGATGAAGTGCTGAAAAGATCAGTAAATACAGACGTTAAAGGGTGATACTAAGTGTTCAGCACAATTATGATACTATGATAGGTAAGATCTGGTTATTAATGGAATTAATGCAATGCTGGTTACCAATGTCAGAGTTAGAGTTAATATTTTTCTCACAAAATTTTTTTTGGTCGAGCAATTTGGAATTGAAAAAGTGTAGGTTGGTAAGTGATGGTACTCTCCATTTAGTGATTAAACACTGAAATCAGTCATTGCTAATTTTAGCTACAAATTAAGGGCAGAGATTTGGCATCACCTTCTGGATTGGGATCTAAACAAGTTCACAAATGTTTTGACAAAGAAAATCAGAGTAGCTAACAGGAACAAATAATGGGATTTTTGTTGTGGTTTTTGATTCTTTACCTTCCAGAAGAGCTAATTTCCATCTGTGGGGTCTGTGCTCACATTTCAGGTTTGATGTTAGGAAAGATTTCTTCTCTGAAAGAGTGGTGAAACACTGGAACATGCTGCCCAGGGAGATGATTTAGTGGGGAAATATTGATGGTAAGTGAATGGTTGGACTAGATGATCTTAGAAGTCTTCTCCAACCTTGATGATTCTATGATTCCATGTTTTACGTGCACTGGAGCACAGCATTTCAAAGCCACTTGTTTCTGTACTTTCCAACTATCTAAAGAAATCTACTGTTTTTGCTCTCAGCGTCACACGTGCCCAACTGTTGTCTGAATATTCCTCTGCTTGAAATATTATTTGACATACAGATGTCACTATTGGAAAGTCAAAGTTGTGTGTGCACAGTTTGCATTGCTTTTTTTTCTGGTAAGGAAGAGAAAAACTTGTTGCTCTCCTCTGCACTTGTGAGGGATCACTGCCAACTCACACTGCCCTTAGCCAACTGGTTTGTCTGCAGAGTGTGCAGTTTGAATTTACAATTTCTGAAATGAGGGTATGGACCACGAGTGCATTTACATGCATTATATACAGCGTTTAGAAGCGCTTCCATCTGTAAATTATCTTGGAGCTTTTTTTCATATACTATAATTAGTTGATCTGAGGACTGTGTATATACACCTATGCACATACTTTTAGATTTAATAAACCCATAGGGAATATAGAAAATGAAACTGGTTAAATATTAAATGTGTTAGAGCTGATAGAAATGTAGGTGCCTAATGTGTATTAATGGATACTGTGGCTGTGGTGCCATTGTTGACTGTAACTGCTAGACCAATGGTTGACCAAAGCCCCAAGAGATAAAACCATCTCCGGCGAGCAACTCAACAGCTTGCAAACCAGGCAGGAAGGGCAGCAGCAGGCATATCTGCACATGTACTCAAAAACAGGCTGCAGAATTCATGTTTTTGTGTCTGCTTATTGTCAGTAACTGCTTAACATAATTTTTTTGTTTCACCACCTGTTTCATACCAAGCTTCTTGGGAGAATTCTGTTCTTGTTTTGGTAGATGTATAACTTCATTTTCGTAGAAGTAAAAGAGAAAAGCTTCCCATTGGTTACCAGGAGTGATTATGTAGAAGAAATGGTCTCTTATCCAAAGTCTCCAACGTGCTGCTGGCTGGGATCATTGTTCTCAGAGGTGTTGTGGGAGCACAGGCCCCAGCCAGGCCCATCAGGAAGTCACTGCTGGTTCAGGAGCAGGCATTGCTTGTGCCCACTCCAGGATATCTGCACACAGAGACTCGACAGCATCCAACCGCTCAATTTGTACCAGTTTGGTGAGCAGTTCTGGGATGCTGTAGCCTGCTGTGCTGATGCGGTCAAACAGCTGCATGCCATCTGTCATGCCACCAATTTCGTCCCTCTTCAACCCGAAGCTCTCAGCAAGGTGACGCCACGTTTTCACTATGGCCTTCTCGGTGTTGTATGTTGAACTGAGCATTCGGCTGGTCTTCTCCAAGCAGTCAAATGGCAGCTCCGTAGGGCTCAGGCCTGCAACATGAAGGGTTCTGGTCAGACAGCTCTGTGTACAACTCCTGGCTGTTCAAAGAATTTCTTAAAATACTATTAGCAATAGGCACAGCTAAAATCTTCAAGTGTGAGTTCATGATAGGTATGTTTAGCTCCAAACAGGATAGGTATGTTTAGCTCCGTATCTCACCTGGAAACAGTAGGCTACAACATTCACAGAATAATTAAGAGTAAAAAGTTTGCTGGGGAAGAAGTACTAAACAGGCTGTGTGCATTCCTATGGTACTGCCCCCTCCTGCAACAATTCACTTGCTATGAGGAGTGTATTGGAAACATATCCCTCATGGGCTCCATGAATACACCTCTGCATGTCCAGCACAGCATTTGAGTCAAGAGCTCTGACCCTTCCATGACTCTTTCAACAGCAGCTGCTGTAACATCACTGTAATTGAAAGTTGCCCTTGTAGGAATGCAAAGAGTGAGGTGCAGCAGACACCAAATGCTTGCAAGCATAAAAGTCCCTGCAAATGTTCGCTTGTCACTGCTAACACTGAATCTCTAGAGATTATTTATAAGTTTCATTCTGTGAGGAAAAAGTTATTCTTTCTCATACAGTTTTTGTTTGCACTGCTGATCACTGTAGTTTTGTACACTGTTTCTGAAAACAGTCTTTTGCTTCTGTAGTTTTCCTGCTTCACACACAACAGCAGTAATTTGATGGGAGATAGTGCTCCCTGAATCACAGAAAACTTGTTCACATGTGTGCACACAAAGTATGTGAGACAAAAAAAGGTAAATGCAGTCACGTCCTCTGTACTGCATGAACATTAGTTTGTGTATCTTCTGCTGAAACACTCCAGCTAGCCAAGTGACAAAGAGGGTTAACATGGACAATGCTGGCCTACTTGGAAACTGCTTGTTGTCATGAGAAGTGGGACAGCTCTTAGAGAAGCAGAGTAGGTCAAGACTTTTGTCTGAAACACAATCCTGACCCTCCACAAATCACACTTTCGTATTTGGACCCAACTTACACTTTTTTATCCATGCAACTAAACAGATAAACACATTTCCTTTAGGTGAAAAGGAAAGTTCTCTGCAGTTTGGTCCGTGTGGATGTCCACATCACTCTTGCATCTCTCCATCTGGAGAGCAGCTGTGGTGCACAAACCCCAACCTGAACAGCTTTGGAATCAGGGCAACATAGTGCTTCCTGCCAGACAAATCTGCCCCCAGGAGCTTTTTCCAGATTTGCACTTTCTTTCCATGAAACTGTCCTTTCCATAGGAAAATAGAGGGATTTACATTTTACAGCAAACAACTGTGATTTAATTTTGTGCTTTTACAAGAGGCACAAGTTCTGTACACTCACCTTCTGCAACGTCACATACGTTAGCGTACACATCAAGTATCTTTTTCCTTCGACTTTGAATCTAAAAGAGAAGAGACTTGTTGCATTATTTTTTTGGCCATGAGAGTAAACAAATGGCACACAGTAGTACAAAACCTCTGGGAGACCCTCCTTTCATGGCTCAAGAGATTATCACATCATGTCTCAAGGGTCATTTTTGAAGACTGGTGGAAGAGGATGCAACAATCCTGCAAAAAGTAAACGTTTCTGCTTTGGCTTACCACTGCTTGAGAACTTTCTTTCAATCTGTTCTTCTTTTAGATAGTGTCTTTTCTACTCTAAGTGCTTCTGTGTTTTGTTTCTCTTTCAGACTGAAGGAAACTCCAGATAATGAGGACAAATTCAATGTCACACGGAAAAAATGCAAGGGATTTCCAGTTAAATTGGAAATCAGACTGAAATTGCCTTCATTCAACAGTGTAAGAGAACTTTAGAGGGGATCACCTTTTCTGTCTTTTGGCATAAAACTGCTTACTGCATTGCTGATTGATTAGATATTTGCTTCCACAATACATTACTTGTGTGAATCTGAAAGATTTTATAGAGAGACAAAAAATCAGTAGCAATTTAGACAGGGAAAATTTAAGGTCGAGGGTGCTGTCATCATTTTTGACAAGAAAGAGTGTCAAGCTGAAAACTTGACATCTTCTAAGCTGAAAATGGACATTTTGATGTAGCTTCATTTAGCCAAAATATTCTCAAGGTTTGGCCTTCGATTCAGCATGGATTGAAAATAAATGTCAAAATGTCAGGAGTTCTCAGGGGCTGGAATTGTCATCTCTCTGCCAGCTTTCATTAGGACTGAGTTCTCATTTTGATAGGATTCCAGCATTATCTCTACAAATTCACCGCTTTTCACTGCAAACCAGGATGAAAAAAAGCTCTATTATTTTCACTATTGTTTTTTAAAAATTTGTTTGTTTGTTTTTGGTTTTTTTTTTAGGAAGATTTTTCCCATTTTATTTGGACTCTAAGTGGCAGGACACATCAATTACTTGGATTAATAGACTTGCAGCTGGAGACAACAAACTGGCTGCTCCACCCAATGCCTGTTTCACAGTATGCCATTTTACAGGGAAATGCAATACAGACATTGACTTATTCACAAATTCTGGGTACAGTTTACACATGCTAATCTTTGGGATTCTGATGTACATTTGATAAGCTGTTTCAGACGCTTATAAACAGAAAAATTTCTTTTAAAGGAATTTGTTAAAATTCATATAAGACAATGAATAGGTGCCTATTTTCATTCTCTCTTCATTTTTAGAACAAGGAATGAGGGTAAAGAATTTCAAGCAGAAGCAAAATTACTCAGGATGATCTTTTTGCCTGAGCCAGAAGATGGGAAATTTTTAAAGCTTTTGATGGAAGCAAGCAGGTGGATTTGGGTTTGGTGATCCTCCATGTGGTAGCACCTTGCATAATGGTTTTTGGTTTAACCAGAGCAGCGTTTGGTAAGAGCAGGTCTTCGACTTTCTTTACCCCTCTCAAAAAGCTACTTAATACTCTTTCTAGTACTAGAAATGCTATTCAGTCTCTAGCCTCAAGCAAATTACCGCTTTTCTAACTTCTGGCAACTGGCTTAGATGTGAAATCTTAGGTATGGGCTGGGGAATCTTGATGTAATCTGCACTTTCATTGACAACTTTGTCTTCAGCCTTGTTAGCAGGCCTCCGCTCATTAGCAGTATGTAATGACAGTAGCTCTGAGAGAAAAGCTCAAGTTTCAGATGTACTTACGAGATACCTAAATTGCTCAGGAGAATGTAACTACTATGTATAGTCCTTAAAAGGAAAGCTGTTTCTTATTAAATGTTCTGAGTTCCTACTTGCCCAACTTATATAATGTAATTCTAAGCAAGGGCATACAGAAGTGTGATAATGTTGGATTTTTACAGAGACCTCATAAAACTGAATTTTAAAATAGGAATGTTAGAGTAGTAAGTTATTTTCAGATAGTCTGACTAACTAACTACACACAGAAAAAACATCTTTCTTAGGCTGAGACTTTGTGTGTCTGGCTTCAGCTGAAAAATGAGCTTTTTTAGAAAATCTGAGAACCATCCCAGCAAAGTAAAACATGCAAACAAGATGCAATTTCAAACCTTTTTTATTCTTCACAACATAGCATCTCCCTCATGAGGAAAGGCTGAGAGACCTGAGACTCTTCAGCCTGGAGAAAAGAGGACTGAGGGGAAATCTGATCGGTGCTTATAAATATCTAACGGATGGGTGTCAAGTGGATGGAGCCAAGCTGTATTTGGTGGTGGCAGAACAAGGGGCAACAGGCACTAACTGGAACACAGGAAGTTCCATATGAACATGAGAAAGAGCTTCTTTCCTTTGGGGGTGACAGAGCACTGCTTGGATGCTTTCCTGTGTGACTTCACAGAATCACAGAATCACAGAATTGTAGGGGTTGGAAGGGACCTCCAGAGATCATTGAGTCCAACCCACCTAGGAAATCTGCTTTAGCAAAACTCAACAGTCTCCAGAGTTCCCTTCCAATCCCTACAGTTCTTAGATTAATGATACCATTTTGTCCTAGATATTGCTATTTTTAAAATTATTTCTAAAGTTCTAAAAACATACAAAATGTCAGAGCAAATGCTTTCTTTTTAAGGGCAGATTCATCTTAATATAAACTAAACATTGTGTGGGTGAGGGAGTGCCTAACCCTGCCTTGAGTAGCCTAAGTGAGATAAACTGCCCTGAGCAATACAGATTCAGCAGGAAGAAGTGAGGGCCTTCCACAGCAAAACAAACGGTGCATTTACATTGTCCTTAGGAGCACAGGAGTGATCTTAAGCACATATGTGTTTTTGGAAGTTACACACACACACACATACACACACACACACACACAAACAACCCACTGAGCACAACTTCAGATATTGCTGAAAATTCAAAGGCATAGAAATAGCCATGCCCCTGAGTCAACACAGGCAGATGCTATGCTACTGTGTGACTTCAGCCCCACTGTCCAATTATTTTTCTGTCTGATTTTCTGTTGTCAAAGTAGCTTTGGGGTTAGTTATATTAGCATTAACTATACTGGGGGTTTGCTGTTTACTTTTTCTTTCTTTAGACTGTGAAACATACAGTGCAAAAAAGCAGAGTTACTTCTTTTATAGCAAATGTGTTTTTCAACCCTGAAGAGTATTAATACATCTACACAGACACGCTCTTCAATATTCAAGGAATTTCATATGCCGTTATGCAAATGAGAGTCAGTAATAAAACTGTCAGAAGAAACTCTCTTGTATTTTGTGGATTAGTTCTATCTGTGTGATAGTGCATTTTTTTATAGTTTGTATCTTGTTTTCTTTAAAAAAAAAAAAAGAAAAACAAAAAAGAAAAAAAACCCACCATCACCACCAATAAGAACACAGAAAGCAACTTCCAAATTTGAAATCTCAAAATTGCCTTACCCCTGTTGATTTATTGCTTGTAGAAGATTTATCTCTGGCCAAATGCACTAAAGATAACAAGCATCTCTCTGGTGTCCCTTGCTTGTCAACTGCAGCTTCTTCATCACTATCCATGCTACGACTTAGAAGTCGTTCATTCTCAGAAGATGCATCGTTTTCACTGTAAAATGAAGGATAAGGTTGTCTTAGTGAAGTCTCTCATGGTTTGACTCCAATGATTTCCTTTCTGCTATCCCAGAGTAATGGAATAAAAATGTTTTCCATTTTTTATTCCCCTGAAATCCTGTGAATGTAACCGCATTCATCTTCTGAGGATATATGTGCAATGCTCACCAAGTTGCACAATCATGCTTATCTTGCAAGAATCCTTCCATAGAAGGACTTCCCACTGAGGACAGTGTTTGCCTCAGTGGAGTTCTGTAATTCAGCACAGAATCTCTGTGGGCTATAACCCAGAGCACATGGTGCTCAAGGTAATGTTTCAATGCATGATGGCCTTGGTCACTTCTTCCAGAAACTAACCCCTGCAGCTCTTTCATTCACACATTTTTCCTTGATCTACCAGACTAGAAAACTACTTCTACTTTGTTCTTCATGAATTTCTCTGTACCAGGATAAATGGTGACTCTACCCCTTTCCTACTTTAGTCAAAATTGAAAGCATCTTTTTTTTTAACCTACCTTTTAGCAGCCTTAGCTGGAGTTGCTGTAAGTTTTTCAAACTCTTCTTTCTCAGAGAATATCACAACGTTATCTGCAGATAAACAGTTAGAAAAATTTACATTGGAAATGGGTATTCCAACTGGTGTTTTGTCTGAGGAGCTACCTTAGCTGGCAACCTTGCTGCAAATGGAAATCTCTCTGCTACCTTTTGAATTGCTATCAGAGGATTAAATGACATTCTGGAAGTACAAATACTATTACAAGAGGGCTGCTCCAAAAATAATGCCTCCTATTTTATGATGTTGGCCCACAGTATCAAGAGGTGGATGTTGGTGGTATGGCAAAAGAAGCTGAACCTTCCTGCCAATATCCATTACATGTTGTTGTTGTGCAACAGGTGGCAGCAGAGGGGTACTCTGACACAGCAGCATCTGACATAGAAGTGCAGATGAAACAAAGGGGTGTCAATGAATTCCTCCATGCAGAAAAAATGGCACCCACTGACATTCATCAACACTTGCTTAAAGTTTATAGAGACCACACAGTGAGCACAGTGAGGTGACAGGTGGTGCATTTCAGCAATGCTGACAATGATGTAAAAAGCAAACCATGTTCAGGATGGTCATGCACAGCTGTCACACCACAAAATGAAGAGCATCTCAATCAGCTCATCAGCATGAATTGGTGGATTATGACCAGGGAACTGTCTTTGGAGCTGAGTATCAGTTTCAAGGTTTTGGAAACAATGACGGCAATACTGGAATATTGCAAAGTTTGCACCAGGTTGGTCCCACTGATGCTTGTACAGTAACTGAAAGAACACTGTATGCAAATTTGACAGGACCTACTGAACCAATCAATACTGGGCAGAAGGTGACAGTTTCCTGGACTGCTTCATTACCAGTGACGAGACATGAGTCACCATTATGAGCCAGAATAAAAATGATAGTCCACATAGTGGGAACATGTGAATCCCCCACTGAAGAAAAAGTTCAAGATGCAGCCCTCAGCAGGTAAAGAGACATGCAGTGTCTTTTGCAGTAGGAAAGGAGTGGTCTTTCTGGATTTTCTAAAACCTGGACAAACCATCAACTCTGACTGCTACATCGTGACACTGATTCTAACTTCCAACATCAGGCCAGAGAAGAAGACAAAATTTCTCTTGAAACACAATAGCACCAGGCCGCACATCAGTTTGAAGACCATGGAGCACATTACAAATCCTGTCTGGACTGTCCCACAGCACCCACCATATAGTCTAGGTTTGGTGCCTGCTGGCTTCTATCTGTATGGGCCGATGAAAGATGAACTGTATGAGCAACAATCTTCTAGCAACAATGCCACTGTAGCAACTGTGAAACAGTGGGTCATTTCCACGGGTGAAGATTTTTACAAGCACAATATGCGGGCTCTTGCTCATTGCTGGTGAAAATGCATAGCTAATGGTGGTGACTATGTTGAAAAGGAGTATTTTGTAGTTGAAAATTTGCTCTATCAAGTAGTGTTTTTGTGCTCTTTGTATCTGCTGCAGTTTCCATGGAAATAAATAGGAGGCATTACTTTCAGATCAACCGATGTACATAATTATTTTGTAAATAGACATTGAATGAGGGAATTGTAAGTAAGAGAAATGTAACATGAATACTTAAGCCCAATGGCATCTTGGATAGAAAATGTAAAACTAAAGCAACTTATACCTTGTACTTCTTTCTTCTCTTCTTGTGTATTAGCCTGAGCTTCAACATTTTTTACTGAGTGGCTCTTGCAACAGGCTAGAATGTGAAAATAACAATAATTATTCTCAGAAGCAATCTAAAATAGTATTTGCAGCAAAAGACTTGTGCTGAACAATTACCTTGAGCAGAAGGTTTGGTTTTCACAATGTAAAACATTATGATGAGGACAATGGCAATTGCCATTATGAATATGGTAGACATTGCAATTATCAGAGCTGTAGCCAGATGTCCTTGTCCTGAAAGGTCTGCTGGAAAAACAAAGAAGTATTTTTTGTAAATAATCAACTCTTCAGACCAAAGAATAGTTAACAGTTCTCAGTCCACACTACCGTTAGAATCTGCACTCTCATTTTGTTGATCTGAGTCTTGTTTAAGCATTGCAAAACTAAACGCTACTTCTCAAAGGGGAACTATCTAATAATTTTCAAAACTGTGACTTAGGCTGCAAGAACAGCTTAATAGTATTCATTCATATTCATATTCAAAAATACACATATTCAAAAACGTGATCAGATGACTATACAAAGATACAGGAAAGATACAGGGGATGGTATTACCTGCTGATAATACAAGAAACTATGTGTACGCAGGAGTAGCAGCGTTCCTAACAGTGAACTAGTGAAATAGCACTTAAAAGAAAGAAAAACAAACAAAAAATACTAAACCAAAAAATCCCCACAAAATGGGCTGAGAGATAAAAGGTCCATTGATATCTCTGACTGCCTCAAAATCTTTGCAGTAAGGAGAACACAATGTACTTGTGGAATAACTAATTTTTTTTTAATAGACTTAAAACACAGCATGGCTGCAGGGTGAATTTAAAATAAGATATGCAGAAAGACTGAAGCAGAATCTGGATGGACAGGTCAGAATCAAAAACTCGTGAAAGAATGCAGAAAATGTCAGGTATACTAAAAGGCAGGAGAATAATTTTTCTGAAAACATGATCTTCAGGATCTTGTTTACAGACAAAACGACCAGGAAGATCAGTGTGGTCTGTACCTCATTAACTGCATCCTTCCTGTTACATGTACTCTGTTCAAACATTTTAAAAACCTAATAATCATAGTGGAGAACAGTTTAGAACAGTTGGGTAAGAGACTGGCTTTAGTCCATTTTTTTGCCACCATTCTAAATGAGGCTTTGCTGAGGCGCAGTGCCCTATCTGTATCACCACAAATAATGTGCTAATTAATTGCTGGCACTGCCCACTAATGTCCAAGTGCATTTTAAGTCCATCCTCCTAGAGCAGCAGTATTGATTAGCCAAGAAATAAAAATTAATTCTGAATTGTTTTTAATTGCCATCTGAGAAATCTGGAAAGAGTGGCAATGAAATTCACAACAGATACCATCAGTTCAGTCGCACTTTTGCTGATACTATTTTTGAGACCAACAGCTGCCGCATTCAATCCAGGAATGTCTTCTTACCTTTGTGAGCATGCTGGTAAGGTGAGAAGGTACTTGTGCCAGAGGTGCTTGGGAAAATGGCTGAAATGCCAGAGGTAGCCCCTGCACCTGCAAAAGAAAAACAGAAATGCCATAAACTTCCACACTTAGTTCATATAGTCAAAGCAGTATCTTAGCCCAGGTAAAGAGAGCCTTGGCTTTTCTTGATTGCATTTCCTGTTGGTTAGCAAAGAGCCATGAATTCACCGTGACGTTTTGAAATGTTACTAACCCCAGTATGCATTGCTGGCATGTTGAAAATTCTATGTAGAAGACAATTTTGCACAGCATCTAGAAGGAGGAGAAGTCAAAGCTTGTGAGCTGTTATGAGCATAGACAAAACTCATCACATGAATGTTCTCATGGTTATCCTTCACTAGCAGGATCACCATGAAACTCTGATAGTAAGCAAGCCCTCACAACCTCACAGGAAAACCTAGCAAAAGCAACAAGCAGGACTGTTGAATGTCCTTCTGTTTCATGGAGCTGCACTGTCGTAGAAGGAAATACTAGAATTTCTGCCATCTAGCTGGATAATTTGTTTCTTATGATCCCCTCCTAAATCTGTATCCAAGGGGGAAAAAAACCCTCAAAAACAGTGAGATGAAGTACCTCAAGCACTGTTTCTTGCAGGCAGAATGAGGTTGTCCAGTGGAGATCTTCCTTTGGTAACTTCTACAGTTCGGTTTAAAAGTTAGCTAATATTTTTATTAATCTTTCACATGTTGCCACACACCATATTTTCAAAGCAGTAAGCCAAGTCATAAACTAACATCTTTTCACAATACTAGACAATAGTGAATATTACTGGGAATAAGGTTGTTGATGAGAATGTTGTATGAAAATACAGGGTGGTATTGGCATAGAATTCCAAGAAAGGCATGAAAACATTGGGTTTGGAAGAAAACATTCTCTTGATTCTCAAATAATTTTTCAAATAATTGGTGAGGAGGTTATGCAAACAGCCACTATGAACAGCCAAGGAAAACCATCCTCTGGCTGGGAGCAGGGATAAAAAAATCCCTTCTGCTTTATATTAGCTGTGCACAGAAAAAATCCAGTGATGACATTTAAATTCAGCAGACCTAAAGCCAGAAGACTGCTCCAATCACACAGTACATGGCTCAGCAAGCTGGTGTGGCAGCTAGAGTAGCTGAGAACTCACCAAGCCATTCTTTTGACCCAGTAAATATCACAAGAAATTCGACCCACTAGGTAAAGCTGACAGGAAATTAAGTGGCCTGGAATGGTCTGAGAAATGTTCCATGGTTAAGTACAAAGAAATGTACATGCTCTTCAAATTAAGAATAATGTTTTCCAAAAAAAGGAAGAAAAAAGATATTACCTAACATAAAATGTAGCTGCATGTAGTGAATGCAAAGTGTACATTCTTAGTGTCCACAAAGTACAAGTTGCAGATGTCTTCAAAAGATATTTCCTTTAACAACGGTAAAATTTCTTTCAAAAGTCATTTCTTGAAAGGAAATGAACTCATTTATTATGAAAACTGAAGGAATTTTTGAAACTGACAGAGTGTTTTCATAAAGCTTTAAATGCACTAATTGGTTAATTCAGATGCTTTTACCATTATGTAAATGGCAGGCAGATTGCATATATCTTGATTCCGGTCCCTTCCCTGAAACAGTTCTTGGAAGAATTATTTATAAGTTCCAGAACCTGCAGCACAGCAGTGGAGCATCTACACATCAGTAGATGAAGATACCGTCCCTCTGTACTGGAGGTTAAAGACAGGTACTTTGTAAGATTGCTAGTAATTCTTCACAAACTGAAATGAATCACACTTCATTTCAACCTTATATTTACTCATTTCAGCTGAGCACTGGAAGCAGCCTAGTCAATGGCCAATGCTGCAGCTAGAGACAAGTCTGTTCTTTCATGTCCACAGCTACTAGGCTTATGCCTTTTCTTGCCATCTCCTGGCAAACCCAATTACAGACAATTGCAATTCTGTGCAGTTCTTACAGGCTGCAACAAGTCAACAGCAGCTTTCTTTCCACTGCCTTTCAATTAATATGGCAAACTGCTCTGCTCTGTCTGCCTGCAGTTTATCTAATAAGCTTGAGTTCATCTCCTTTATAAGCAGGGTTTATCATACTCTCTGTTCCTTCATTTGAAAAGTGGAGTAATTGAAGGATTTCTGCCTAATCCTTCAATCATTCAATCACTTGGTATTGGTAACGTAAGGTTTTTCATCTGTAGCAGGAAGGAGAGCCTTGGTGGTATGTCAGGGAGCAGCACTTCACAGGAATGGTAATGGGGAAGGCTGTCTATTTGTCCTTCAACATTACTGCCACCCAGCTCTACCCACATGAAGATATTGCGTGTTGCCCACTCTACACACACTAAAGCTTCTCCAACACACAAGGGTGGTCATTTTCATCTTTGGAAGAGCCTGCATAAGGAATTTTCCTTTGGTTACATGGGAATGGGGCTATGGTGCTTCTGTGCTGTCTATCATGGCAAGAGGTAGCCTGATGCTAAAACTCAATGGCCTTGCACATATGCCTGTGTGGGAGTTAGATATTATGCATATTTTAAGTCTATTATCAAATTTAATAATTTGATATATTCATTATGAGCCAAGACTTTTCTTTAGATGTGGCTTAGAAACAAGTGCCAACTCACGCACCTGCACTACAAGGGGAACCAAAAATGCCAGCTTCTGCAGAATTTCAGTTCATGCCTTTTTTCATTTGAGCAAAAAGAAGCAAAGTAACAAATAGAAGCAAAGCAAAGCAGTCTTGAAGTACACCATGACTCCAGTGTCAGCTGTTCCTGTGCACATCCAGTTTTGTGTTCAGCTACATTATTAACTTTGGTTCCAATACAGATGACACTAACACAGTCTATGAAGACTTAGAGCTCGGGGAGAGACATCCTAACATGATACAGCACAACATATGGAAATAACTCTGTTTTAAGCCCCAAAAAAGAGTGATGGCTGTAATATAGCTGTGCAAAGGAGTGGTTTGTATTCCTAGACACCTGTAAGTAATATTCTAGGAATGTGATAAAGACACTAGGAAGAAGGCTTATCAGTGAAGCTTTGCCATTTTTTGCATTATGTTTTTATTAAAAAAAGAAAAAAGAAAAAAGATATCAGCAGAGTCTAAATACTATTTCATTAAAAAGCAGCATATGCTGATTAAGAGAACAATTTCACCTATATTCAGATTTGAATATTTGTTGTTGTTTGTTTCTTTAACTGGAAAGATAGCTTTAACGTAAATTGCCATGCAGACAGCCATTCGTCCCCACAGTGAACAAATGCAGGATAGTAACATAACATTTTTGTTCTAAGGAACCATTCTGCTTTTTGTAACAGGACTATTGCTGTTGTTTATGTATCTCAAGACAGATTTATAGCAAGAAGTGATGAACAAATGTGCCAGATCTGTGGGACGAGGAGGGCACAGGGAGGGGAGGGTTGCCCAACATGCCCTCTCACAAGTGTTTGTGCCTGGAGGAAATCTGGTGCAGCAGGGACCATATGTGCTTCTGACATATGTTGCTGTAAGTGGCAGCTTACTGGTCCGTGCAAAGGACTGCTGCTCCTAGCTAGCAACAGCTTTTCGTGAAGTTTATTTAATACTTAATGACTCACTATAAAAACACACAAAGTGTGTCTGCAACAGACTACCAAAGTGATCCTGAAATACAAAGTGTTTAAAAAAAATGCCTTTTTGCCTCTATGTGTCTGCTCCTTGCTACTGGGAGCAGTTTGCTGTCTCTCCTTTCGCACCCCACTTCCCACAGCCATGGCCCATTTATGAATGGCAATCCATACTTGTTACTGCCAGCTGAGCTGTGCCTGCAGGCACTGTGGCCATTTTAAATGGGTGAAGTAAGATAAAGCACCCACGCAAATTAATAACCAGCAGCCTGAAATATGAGATGGAAAAATATATTACATTGAGTTGAAGTTCAATAAAGGTAGAAAGTTTATGGCTGACAAACTAATCGGAAACTAGGTTATAACTAAATCTGGTCATAAATAAAGACCTAGCTATTTAGAAAGCCCACATCAGAATTTTCAAATTAATGTCAATCTGTATTCAGGTACTTACAGAAAAGGTTTTCAAACTTAAGGGAAGAACTTCCTATGGAAACCCTGTCCATTTGAACAGTCATGGAACTGAAGCTGCTGTCAAAATCCAGCTGCTCTTCAAGGCATCTACATATGGACTTAGTAAACAAACATTATCCAACTCTAATAATATTGCAAATCACATACAGCAGAAATTATCTCAGGCACTGAAGGACTACTTGAGTGCTTTGGATTTTCCTGTTATTTCCAGGAGATATAAAGAATAAAGGCAGTTCAGTTCAATATTTACTGTAGCCTCAGGCAGATTCTTCAGTTAGTTTAGATAGTTATTAAATTGGGAGGAGCGAGAAGCAAACAAATTCCCTGGTTTGAACCTTTTAAAACTCGTGATAACCCTAACCCTAATTCCTACAGACTTTAGTTTCAGATCTGGTCATTCTCACTGTAAGGAGCCACTACTGCTCAGACACCTAAAGACATACTTTATACTCTCATGCTGTGTAATGTTTTTAACTTTAGTTTTTGTCTCCCATTATTTTGCTGGGGCAGGGAAAAGTGCTGAGGACAGTAAGATGTATGGCCTTAGCCTGACAATTTACTGTTTTGTTTAAGATTTACTGAGAGCTTTAACTGTACAGTGCTATTATGTTGCAGGTAGATGTGCAGGGACACCTCACACTTGTGAGAGGGAATGGCCCAAAGTCCTCAGAGTTTTCAGGTGAGCTGCAATTGCACCAGATGCCCTCCTGCATGATACCCAATGTTACCTGGGCTCAGCTTTCCTGGCTGCTCAAGAGGGCAAAGTCCATATTTGATCCTCAGATCTTTTCCCTGGAAGGTTTATGGCTGAGGCTGGCCAATTTTCTCCCAATATTAGGTATAGACAGGCCCTGAGGGAATGAGTACAAGGCCACACCACCAGTGAACAATAAAGCACTGCCTTCAGTGTTTCTCCTATTCCACATGTAAAGAGGAATGGGGTGTTCAGAGATCAAACGAC